CGGGCGGCGTCCGCGCAGCCCGGCTTTGTCCGAGGTTCGGTCCCCGTCGGCCGGGCGCGCAGCGAGCAGCCTCGCGCCGCGCTGGCGTCGTCCTCGTCGCCCTCGCCGCCCATGGTCTCCCGGCCCGAGCCGGACAGCGAGGCCATGGACGCGGAGCTGGTGGTGACGCCGCCTGGCTGCTCGCACCTGGGCAGCTTCAAGGTGGACAACTGGAAGCAGAACCTGCGGGCCATCTACCAGTGCTTCGTGTGGAGCGGCACGGCCGAGGCCCGCAAGCGCAAGGTGCGCCCCGGGAGCGCGCGCCCCGCGGGGGCGGGGGGAGGGCTGTGCCCCCTGCCGGGGTGGGGGCGCGAGGCGCGTCTCCTTCCCCTCCCCCTTCCTTCCCCTCCCCCTTCCTTCCCCTCCCCCTTCCTTCTCCTCCCCCTTCCTTCCCCTCCCCCCTCCTTCTCCTTCCCCCCTCCTTCTCCCTCCCCCCTCCTTCTCCCTCTCCCTCCCCCTTCCCCCCTGCGCTCGGGGCGCGCTCGGGACGAGCGGGGCGGGGTTTGGGGCGCGGCCAGTTCCGGGGGTGGGCGAGCGCAGGCCTGGGGAGGGGCGGCCTTTGCCAGCAGGTTTGTTTGGAAGCCTGGGACAGAGGAGGAGGGTCGCCGGCCTTCCGGCGCGAGGCTTCCCCGAGGAACCCTCCGGGGGTGGGAGGTTCGGCGCGGGGATGGGGGCCCTGAGAAAAAGAGGACAAAAAAATTAATACAGAGACAAAGACTATGCGGTGCCGTCGGTGCCTGCTGTGGATCAGCCGCCTGCCTCCGTGCTGAGTGTCCATTATTCCAGAGTGTTCACTAAGGGTTACCTGGGCTGAGGACATGGAACCGGCCGTCGGGCCTGGGGTTATTAGGGTGCGGTGTCCACTGCAGCGCTTGGGCGGAACCCCCGCCGGGTCCGGGTCTGCAGGAGCCAAGGAGGGGATGGCTCTCCCCCACCCCGTCTCAGATCTCACGTGGGTGGGGGTGCTGAGCGAGTGGGCGGTTAGAAATGCGGCCGGTCCTGCCGCCCTTTAGAGCCGGCCTAGGAAAGCCTGTCGTGGTCGGCACGATTGTGGTCTGGAGAATCCCTTGTAGCCACGGAGGAGTGGGCTTAAAGGTGAGTCTGATGAGAAGGTGGGACCTGGCCTGCCTTCTGCGGTAAGAGCCTTTAGTAAGGAACTGATGCCCCTGCGTCTGAGACCCTGAGGAAATTATCTTGAGTATTATACTTTTCCGATATGTGTCCCATCTAAGCGATTAGGCTTATTAATGACTTGGAAATCAGAAAATAACGATGTTCTTTTCTCTTATCCGAATGAGCCTTGTTTTTACAGTGTAAAGCAATTTTGCAGTTTACAATCTGCAAGGTTGGGAGATGTTAGGCAGTTTCCACCTTGAATAGCATTTTTTTATGGGAAAACTAACAGATCCTCTGAGGTTGTAAGGACTGTTAAACACCAGTTTGTTTTTTTAAGGTAATAATGGTGTTGGGACGCATTACTTCTTAGGATGAACTAAATTCAGAGATGAAACAAATTTCTATTAGATCAGAGTGAGATTCTTGGTAATGGAACTGTGTGCCTTTAAAAAAGATCACCTGTTTGAAACGGTAATATGTTAGTGCTCTATGTTGTCAGTTAATTGGTTAAGATTTGTGTGATGTGTGTAAGATTCATCTCCACATTGGATTAAGTGGGGGAACCTCCTCCTCTTTTCCTCTCTTCCTCCTCCCTCTCTCCCTCGTCTTCCCCCTTCCCCTCCCCTGTAATTTTTAACAAACCTGAAAGGGTGAAGTTTAACCCGTCGTTAACTTTGCCTAATTTCCTAGAGGAAGGAATCACATTTTTTTGTTATGTATGACTTGGATTAATGTCTTTTAATGTCAGTTGCTTAGTTTGAAAGCTGTTGAAATGCATCTGTATTGTTGGCCGGTAAGAGCTTGAGCTATAGGCAGAGAGAGGTGGTGGTAAATACTTCACAGTTCGGGTCTGTCAGTACTGCGGTACCTTTTGGTCCACCAGCAATGAAGCCTAATATCCTTCATTTGCTATTCTCTGAATTTTGGCGGGGTCGTTTTCTTGTATCACTGGGGTCCTGTGTAACTGCATTTCTAGCACTCTCTAGTGGCCCAGCCAAGGAAGAGTTGGTTTGCGAGAGTTTAACCCTGATGATTAATAGTGAATAATACACGTTTGACAGTTTGCATAGGGTTCTCAGCAGATCTATAGGCTTAGTGCATTTTTAGTTTTAAAGATAAGAAGTTTCTTATAAAAATAGTTAAAGTTATATGGTAATCTTCATAAACAAACAGGTACATTTTGAGGTTGACGTCTCAGCTACAGTGTAAGTACAGAAATGGATCTCTGGATGAACAGGAGTTAGAACCTCTAGGGGCCGGCCTGGTGGTGTTCGAGGTGGCGTTCCTGCACTCTGCTTTGGCAGCCCTGGGCTTGCCAGTTTGGATCCCGGGTGCACATGAGCACACTGCTTATTGAGCCAGGCTGTGGTGGTGTCCCATACAAAGTAGAGGAAGATGGGCATGGGTGTTAGCCCAGGGCCAATCTTCCTCAAAAAAAAAAAAAAAAAAAAAAGAGGATGATTGACATCGGATGTTAGCTCAGGGCTGATCTTCCTCCCAAACAAACAAAACAAAAACAAAAAAAACTTTGTCTAGCCTAAGTAGAGGTGCATTATGGTTTTTATCTCCAGACTTTGATCCTTCTTTTGATAGGCAGAGAGTGAAAACAACATGAACAGATTTGACAACTTTCTGCCCAACTTAGGCATGAAGTGCAGTAAAACTTCTATAACTACATGTAAAGATGTGCCCCCGATTTAGGACCCAGTGGTACCACAGTGGACTCTCCTGTGCATTTGTGACGTGTGTTAAATAGAACAAATACCTTACCACTTTAGGGTTTGTGTGTGAAAAGAGAAACTGGCCATAAAAACATCAGGAATTTTCAATTCTACTGGCTATTATCACTCAACATATTTTATATTTTGAATTCATAGACACTTTGGGGGAAAGGTAATGTTTTTTAAAATAATGATTTCTCTCTTCTTTGCACTTTTTCTTTGACTCTAAAATTTTCCAGCAACTTGTCCTCAACACATAGAGCTCTTCTGGCCCCGCGGCGTAGTGCTTCAGTTTGGCACACTCCACGTCAGCGGCCCGGGTTCGTGGGTTTGGTTCCTGGGTTTGGTTCCTGGGTGTGGACCTACGCCACTCGTCAGCCATGCTGTGGTGGCATCCCATATACAAAATAGAGGAAGATGGGCACAGATGTTAGCTCAGGGCCAGTCTTCCTCAAGCAAAAAAAAGAGGGTTGGCAACAGATGTTAGCCCAGGGTGAATCTTCCTCACCAAAAAAAAACCCCCAAAAACACACACACTGAGCCCTTTTTGTAACTATAGTAAATGCTTTTATCAAATACAGTTTCCCACAAGTGAAGAAGAGTTGTCAAACATACTGTTAGTAATTGTGGACCATTATCAGTTCTGGTTTAATTTGGGCAGTAATCTGGAGGACGGAAAACTGCTTTTGAAGGCTTCTCAGCACAAAATTTGGGGCCCAAAGCAACCTTTTAGGTAGAAAATCTTAGAGAATGTTTTGTTTGAGAAAGATGCTAGAGAAGGAACTCCATCTGGGGAATGATAGGTGAGAGACCGGAGGGCTCTAAGATCCAGAAGCCTTACCTTACTTTAGCATTTTTTTCTGTTTCTCTGTGGCCTTAATACCACTATTTAAAGAAATGTGGAATGGGCATCCTTTGGAAGAAAGTCGAGTGCTTCCATATTTTTTTAGACCTCCCATTCTCTCTTCAGTCCAGAGTCATCTCTTAACCCTGCTTGGGTTTGTCTTGAGGAATGGAAGTCATAATTGTCAAAAGACCATGTACCCCTACTGTTGTAGGGGTCAAATAGCAAGATGATAAATATTTACCTTAAAGTTTAGAGTATTTGTAGATGTCCAATTTTTACATGTAGGATAATTATAGCCCAAACATACGTAAAGGATAGCATAGACAACTCTAGATGCTCAGATGTTGGTGAGTGTGATGATGTGATTTATAAGAAACATATATTTGGTCATTCAGATGACCAAGATATGTTTCTCATATATATGTGGTCTTCTTCCACAGTTACTGACTCACAGCTCCGAAAACCCTTGGAATTTCTTGTTTATGGTTTTTTTTTGTTTTTTTTGGTAAGATGGACTAGCCCTGAGCTGACATCCGATGCCAGTCCTCCCCTTTTTTTTCTTGAGGAATTTTGGCCCTGGGCTAACATCCATGCCCATCTTCCTCTACTTTATAGGGACACTGCCACAGCATGGCTTAACAAGCGGTGCGTCAGTATGTGCCCGGGATCCAAACCGGCGAACCCCGGGCCACTGAGGGCGAACCCCGGGCCACTGAAGTGGAGCATGCGCACTTAAGCACTGTGCTGCTGGGCCGGCCCCTCTTGTTTATGTTAATGAAAGTGGCTTTTGGACTCACCCAAGAGTGGGGGCTGGATGCTGGGAGAACCGGCTAGGTGATCAGAGGACTGGAACTTTCAGTCCCCGCCCCCCCCCCCTTCCAGGGAGGGGACGGGACTTGAGGTTGAATCAATGGACAGTGATTTAGTCACTTGTGACCACGTGACGAAGCCTCCATGGAAACCCAAAGGACAGCTCGTCAGTGTTTTTTCCGGGGGCTTCCTGGTTGGTGACCATGTGGAGGTGGTGGGAGAGGGGTGTTCCCGCAGAGGACATGGAAGCTCCAAACCCTTCCCTCAGATCTCACCCTGCGCGTCTCTTCCGTCTGGATGTTCATCTGTACCCTTTATCGTCTCCTTTGATAAACTGGTAAACATGAGTAAGTGTTTTCCTGAGTTCTGTGAGCTCTTGTAGCAAATTAACCGACCCTGAGGCGGGGGTTGTGGGAACCTCTGATTTACAGCCAGTCTTTCAGAAGCACAGGTAACGGCCTAGGCTTGCGTCTGGCATGTCAAGTGGGGGCTGTCTTGTGGGGCTGAGCCCTTTCCCTGTTTAATCTGCTTCTGTCCAGTAGGTAGTGTCAGAAGTGAGTTCAGTCCTCGCACACCTGCTAGTGTCTGAGAAGTGTGTGTTGCTATGAGGAGGACTCCACGTATACCTGTTGGAATTGGGTCCAGGAACCCTTTGCAGCAAGTTTTATTGAGGAAGATTAAAATCCATGAATCTATGTATTTTTAAAAAATAATTACGGAAGTGATAATATGAACATGTTCTCAATGTG